TTTTTTTTAGAAAGCAGGATTTATTGAGAGGACAGAAAAGCTCCCACAGTGGTAGGGGACTCGAAGGGGTGGCCAAGCATATACTTTTATATAAGTCCCGTTCATTTGTAATGATCACCAAAAAGAAAGGAATAAACGCATTATTTCTAACTTGGTGATTTCTGAAGACTTTAAAAAAATGTCTCATTTGTGTTTGCATGCTTTTTATGTGGCATTTTTAGAACCTGGTACTTATTCCTATGAAGTAATTTGTTCCCTGACAGCATATGGTTGTCACCTAGGTGCTACCACAACAATATTGCCTATATAATTTAGGTCTCTAGGAAGATAGCAAACCTAATTACTAATCCAAAGCTAGAGAATATCAACCCCATTAATTCATTCCTAAAATCTTGCATTTTGTTTAATGCAATTGCTAATATCCACTTTCAAGGATTGAAATGTAAAATGCCTGTATTATGCAAACCAACATAGTTAAGATGGTAGAATGATTTATGAGATCAGGAAGTGACCTGCAAGGGTGAAGTGAATAGCCAGAGCCACCTCAAAGAGTTGATATCAGTTAGTCATGTTGTTTATTGATGTCTCTCGTCAGTTTGACTTTACACAGGAAAAACGACTGCAAAGTAAAATTGTTATTACCACACCCTCCTTACACAGAATTCATCTCAGTTTATAAACCATTGCTGATCGCTTACCTGGTGCCGGGTGTGTTCCAGGTGTTTGTAATACATCCAAGAACAAAAGAGACTAAAAGTGTTGTTCCTTTAGTCTTACCTTCTAGTGCAGGGAGACAACCAATAACCCAATAAATAAAGACCTAGTCAGTTAGAGGGCAGGATTATGGGGGGAATAAAAAGAGGGGACAGATTGCCAAATTAGACAAGTTGGGCAGAGGGAAGCTCACTGAGAAAGTGAGTTTTAAGCAGGTGCTGGAAGGAGCTGAGTGTGTAAACCTGTGAGTATCTGATGGAAGCTGAGACCACAAACTACTAAACACGAGAGAAGGAGTGCAAATAATGCCAGGTTTTACCACTGACGACAGTGGCTGTGCCTGGAGATTATGGAGGCAGCTTTGCTGGGATGATGAGCTGGGTGTTCCTTCTTGCTTTCTGCCTCCACTTTGTACTGCACAGTTGAATTACCAGTGCTAGCATCTGACATTGGAGACTATTACATGTCAATTTCCTATCCTGTTACAGGTTAGAGACGACAATAAGAGACAACACCCATGTCTGGTGGAGTTCTCCAAGCTTCCTGAACAGGAACGCAATTACAACTTACAAATGTCACTTGAGACCCTGAAGTGAGTTTCTTGGCTTTTTCTATTTTCCAAACTGCCTTACCTGAAAGAAACCAGGTATTGAGGTTATACTTTATTTCAGCTGTGAAGTATTTTGATCACAGCTAGAACTTTTTTTATAATGTATAGATGGATTGGATCAGTATTTGTTGGGGAATAAACTTTGACCATATTATTTTATATCTTTATGCTCTATATCAGTGCTTACTAAATGGTATCCTATTGATGTTTGTAGGTATTACAAAATATGAAGGTTCTGAGATCCTGTATAATAATTCTACAAGGCCGTAGAGTGTAGACTGTCTTCTAGGGAGTGAGCCAGCCACAAATTGTTACTAATTTATGACAAGATAAGTAGAGGTATTAAGAGTGTATGGAAACTTTCATTCCAATATAAAGAAGCAATTTTATATCTGTTAAATCTAATACTTCAAAAAATGTAAGGTTATTTTCATATGTGTTCATTTTGAAATTTTAATTATGTCTAACAATTTTGTGAGAGAATCAGACCACAATCAATAGGAAATTAAAAGAAAATTAGTTCTTAACCAGATTGTTTGAGAAGCACTGACCTGATATATTTAACAGATGCTGAGTCAAAGGAGTTAAATTTGATCTGATGAACTTTTTAGCATTTTTAATTTGTCCCGTGTACTGTGAATCTCTGGAATGGGTTAGAATGTTTCTTAAACTTATTTAGCCAGAGTACTTCTGAGGACCATTTATCTGAACAACATCTCTCACTTTTTTTTTTTTTTTTTTAAGAGACAGGTTGTCCAGACCGTAGTACAGTAGCTGTTCATGGTGTGGGCATAGCACACTGCAGCCTCAAACTCCTGGTCTTGAGATCCTCCTGGCTCAACCTCCCAAGTAGCTGGGACTACAGTAGCACATCACTGCTCCTAACCTAAGTAATATATTTTGAGAAATGCTACTGTAGGGTATTTTATATCATGCTGTAAATGCAGATTTGCTTTTCAGTGACCTTTCCCCATCTCTTGAATTTGCCACTTACCTTTGCAGGTGGAAGAATGGAACTGGGATAGAATAGAGGAAGAAATACAGTTTCAAATTTTAACACATAAAAGTAAAGAAACATTTTTTGAAGAGACTGTAACTTTTCCTTTGTCTCCTTATCTATCCTTAGTGTCCTGTGAAACTAGATTTGTTAACTAGGGCATTTATCCTCATCGATGTTAATATTAGGTATGAAAAAAATACCTTAGTCCTTTTTGTTTGTTTCAGCTTTATTAAGAGTAAGAAGTTATTTCCATTGGTGATATTTTACCAAGGACTCAGAACAGAAAACTTAAACACTGGTTCAGATTCTAGAATGTGGGCCCTGGTATATACAGTGCGCCATCATGACATTTCAGTCAATGACGAACTGCATATGCAATGGTGGTCCCATAAGTTCCACACATATGGCGGTCTTTTTTTTTTTTTTTTTTTT